CGGGCTTTTTTCTTCTTCCCGTCTCCCTCCATGTTCTCCCGGGAGCCGGAGCTGCTCCGGTGGCTCAAGGACTTGTGCTCTTTCCGCCTCTTGGGGTGAAGCTTGCTGGCGGCTTTGCTCGGCTCCATGTGGCCATGTCTCACAGCATTGCTGGCCACCTCGCCTCTGGGCTGGTGGCCGGTGGATTTGCTTGGGTTGACGCCTTGGTCCTTAGCATTAGTGCAGCTGTCCTTGGCGCTGGACTCGGGCACGGCTTTCTCCTTCCCCGAACCAGGTTGCTGACTCTCCTCAGTGCTGCCGCTGGGGCTGTCCGTGCCAGGAGCAGCCTCGCCACCCAGCGTTGAATCTTTGGCAGCCCTGTTCAGTGTGGGTGAAGACACCTTGTCCTTCAGGGGCAGGGGGTGGTGGGCAGCTTCTGGAGACATGGCCTTAGATGAACCTTCCCAAGAAGAGGCACTGCTGGCACTGGGGTTGCCCCACCTGTGGGGGTCCTTGGTCGGTGGAGCCTCTGCCTGCGGGGAAGGAAGCTCTGAGACCTTCTCGGCAAGCTGGAGAAATGGGATCCCGTCCATGGAACTGGTGGCTGCATTGGGATTTTCCAGGACACCTGCTAGATACTCGTCTTTGTTGCCTATGCTCGTTCTTTTATGGGCATCGGCGTAGCCACATTTCTCGGTGAGGTGTGGGGGAGAGAGTTTTTGGTCTGTGGCCTGGTTACAAGCCAACCCAGCAAGGTCAATGGTAAACACGGGTGAGTCCAAGAAAGGAAGTGGTTTCCCATCAAACGTTCCTTTCTCCAGCTCCTCGATAGACAGGGCAGCAATACGGCCAAGCTCCGAGCTGCTCGCTGCAGGCTCTGGCAAAGATGGGGAGAGGCAAGGGGGTGGAGGCAGGGTGTCAAACTGGGATTTCTCCATCTCTGCCAGGAGGTCGGAGAAGTCACCCACCAGGTCTTCTGTTTTCACGGAGGGTTGGGTCAGAGGTGTTCCTGGGTCACCGGGTGATGTTGGGAAGGAGTCAGCGGAAGCCTGCAGGCTGGGGCTCGCAGCCTCTACCATCTGAAGGTCACTAGTGAGGTCCGGGTGGACCGGTGAGCTGCACGGGAGTGAGCTGCTGTGGTGAGAAACCTTCCTCTTCTTGCTTGGAGGCATGCCATCCCGGAGAGAGCTGTCCGCTTTCACCTTCTCCCTGCCCTCTCTGGAGGCAACGCCTGGCCTCATGACCCCTCTGAATTTGAAAGTCTTGTTGCTTCCCGCCAGATGCTTTTCCATGTGCCGGTCGTACTGCTCTTTCTTGGAGAAGGTGTAGTTGCACATGCTGCAGATAAAGGACTTCTTGATGACGTGCATGACATCCGCACAGAGCTCGCAGGTGTACAGGGTGGTGTGCTTGATCTCCTGCTCCTCCACTATCCCGTGCTCCTGGCTGAGGTGGTTTCGAAGCTCTTTGGTCTCCTGGTAGAACATCGGACACTTGTGGCACAAGTAAATCTTCTGTAAACTGTGCACGACAAGGTGCCGTTGGAGCTTGAAGGGTTTGGGAAACTGCTTGCCACAGTGGTGACAGTCCCTGGAAGGATCCTTGCAGTCTGGGTGCATGGGGACAGATTTGGAGATGCCTTCGCTTTTTGCTGTACGCTCTGGAGATATACTGGCGGATGCTTTAGAGGAGCTGGGTGCAGGTGGCTTCACCCTGACGTTGCTTTCCACGGGGTCTTTCATCACCTTAGCCTCCTGCTCGAGGGGCAGCTCCTTGGGGCTCTTGCTCTCCCTGCTAACCGCATGCTTGCTGCTGGGGTCGGCATGCTGGGAGGATCTGCTGGGCTTGCGATACATGATGGTGTTGAGGAAGTGGGTGACAGCGGCATTGTCCTCGCCGAAGCAGCCTGGCAGCCCCATCACGGACTTCTGCGCTTGCCCCTTGCGAGCGAACTGGGTGGCGTGCTCCCGGAGATGTTCGTTGTACATCCAGACGTCGGAGATCTCCTTCAGGCACATCCCGCAGGCCCACAGACCGGCTTTGTTTTTGGCATGCTTCTCCTTCAGATGGTCCCTCAGTTGTTCCCGGGAGCTGAATTTGCGCTGGACACACATGTAGCAGGTAGGTGGAGGGGAAGGGTTATGGGAGAGCTTGTGAAAGTCCAGCTCCCCTAACGTCAGGAACCACTGGAAGCAGACTTTGCACTTGTACTGCTTGTCTTTGGCTTTGATGGTTATCTCACTGCGGTTCTTCCCCAGCTTCCCATCTTCTAGCTTACTTCTGTGCTTGCTGTGCTGGCCCGGCTTCGGCTTGAAACCCACAGCGTTGTCCTCCCCATGGCCAGGAAGATCTTCACAAGGGCTGAAGAAGCACATGTCTCTCATTTTCAGCTTTGCGTTCAACATCTCGATGTCGATGGTATGAAATTCAGGAGAGTCGGAATCTTCGTTAGGCTTGCCATCGTAGGGCTCCTCTGCCAAGTCGGGGGGCTCGGAGCTCGCTTCTCTGAGGGAATGCTCATCCTCAAGGTCCATCAGAGGCGCAAACATGTCCTCGGCAGAGAGGCTTTCTCCTTCCTTCTCCAGACTCCCCCAGATGTTCAAGCTGGGGACATTGTCCACTTGGCTGTTTTGGCACAAGAAGGTTAGCATGTTGTCTTCCAGGTCAATGTCCTCCTTCCCTTGGTCAGTCTTCTCGCAGTCCGACCTCAGAACAATGCTTTTAGATCCTCCGGGAGAAGCGTCACCACTCTTTGCCTTGCTGCCGTGACACATGTTTAGCATTAAGGCATCGTCAACAGAGATGGTTTCGTATTCGCAAGGGTCCTCCCTGGTGACACAGAAAGAGCCCGTTTCGCTGAGGTCGGAAGCTAATCGGATGGGGAAGAGGTCGATGGCACCCGCTGGCTGGAGGTTTGCCTCGGTGACGGGCTTGGGTTTCTTGCTGCGCTTCCCATACACCCGTGTGCACTTTCTCCTGATGAACTGGTCATCCCTGGGGAACAGCTGGGAGAACGTGGAGTCATCATCAAACAAGCTCTGGAGGTCGGAGACAGCCGTGCTCTCCATGCACTGGTCCCTGCCTGGTGGCACGTCTGCCTTCGCCCATCGCTTTGGCTCCGTAGGAGGAGGGCTGGTCCCTGGCGCAGTTGGCACAGCACCTTGCCTGGGAGCCTTTTGGGTGGTTTTGGAATCAAGCATCTCCAGTGGCAGACCCTCTTCAGCAGGCTCCATGGGACACTGTGGGGCACTGCTCCGGCTCCCAGCGCCACTGCCTGCCGCAGGACTGTCTCCTGTCTCAGCATCCACCTCCTCTGTGCCATCAGCACCACGGTGCTGCTCTTCACCTACCTTGCCCAATCCCTTCTCCACTTGCTGCACAAATCCGCTAACCCATTGTTTGCAAACCTGCGTGTCTTCCACTCCATTTGGATCTTCCACCTTCCCATGACAGGTGCCTGTTACTGGCTCCTTGCCGACCATCTCCTGGGAAGACACCATCATGTCACCCAGGTCCTCTGCAAGCTCAGCTGCACTGTGGCTCTTACTGGCTCCTTGCCGACCATCTCCTGGGAAGACACCATCATGTCACCCAGGTCCTCTGCAAGCTCAGCTGCACAAGGGGACTGTTCAGCTTCTTGAGAGTGCTGGGATGAGCTGGGCCTAGCTTGCTCCTCTGTGAAGATGCAACCACCTGGTTCATGCAAGCCCTCCGTGATCTCGGGCAGGCTGGAGCTGAGGACAGCAGGGGGAAGACCTGTGCCATCTCCTGGGAAGACACCATCATGTCACCCAGGTCCTCTGCAAGCTCAGCTGCACAAGGGGACTGTTCAGCTTCTTGAGAGTGCTGGGATGAGCTGGGCCTAGCTTGCTCCTCTGTGAAGATGCAACCACCTGGTTCATGCAAGCCCTCCGTGATCTCGGGCAGGCTGGAGCTGAGGACAGCAGGGGGAAGACCTGTGTTCTTCTCCAGCTCACACGGACCATCGGACTCATTTCTGCTGGGAAATACCTTTGCCTTCCTTCGTCTCACTTTCCTGTTTAGCTTCTTTTCAGAATTACCATTCACCTCTCCAGAATCTTTGCTTCGGTTCCTTCTGCCCTTCTCTCCCTTCCTGGCTTGCCATCCTGGGTCCAGCTTCCCAGCTGCCACATCGCCTGCTCCCCTTGTCCCTGAGTGCAGCCCCTTTGCCTTCATCTCCCTCTGCAGAACACATGTGTGGTGCAGCTCCTGGGACATCTCAAAGGAGATGACGCTGAGGTCGCTGAGCACTCTGCTGACCACTTCATGGATCTGGGTGCTGGGCTCTTTCTCCAGGTCTGGGCATATTTTCTTGGGGACGTGGTCAACGTCAGTGGTCAACGTCCGTGAGCTGCAGGTTTTCTCTTTGACCGAAGTCTTCAGGCTCCTCCTGGGCACCTTTTGGGCTGCTTTCGATGTCTTGTCTGCAGGAATCAAAGCGGACCTGGGACTCTTGCTGGGTTGTGGTACGCCACCATTCTTCAGCTGGTGCTTGACCGCTTTGTGCCTGGTCAGGCCAGGCTTGGACCGGAAAGAAGCTGAACAAATGTCACAGGTCACCGGGAGCCCATTTGGCTTCTTTTCATTGTGAAGTTCATTCTGGGAAGGGTTTGGAGCACTGTTAGGCGTGTTGCCCTCTCCTTGGCCCATACTGTTTAACACACAACTCCCAGCTTCTCCAGCCCCATGGCTTTTGGGTTTCTCCCCTTTTAAAGTCTTCCCTCCGCTCTCTGTGTTTTTGGAAAGACCAAGTCTCACTTCTGCTGCCTCTGAAAACTTGTGGCCATTTAACTCAGCAGGACCAAGATCTCCAATCCTTCTAAGACCTCTACTGACAGCAGCTGGCACCTGCTGAAGAACAAAACCATTGGACGAAGCCTCGGGTTCACTTTGGTGCTTATTTCCATCATCAGAGCAGCTTTCAAGCTTGTTCTCTTGATCCAGGTTTACCTCTCTCTCTCTGGTTGGCAGAAGATCTGTTGTGGGCTGGGTTGGGTAACCTTGGGTTTCCAGAGGAACGGAGTTAAAAACTGTATCTGTGACCGCACACACTTGGTTTTCTTGAAAATGAGAGCCTGACAGCACAGCAACGGCGTTTTCGGGTGCCTCTTTCCCAACACCCTTTTGGTTGAAAGGCGGCGAGCAGGGAAGAGAGCAGTCCTTCCCATGTGGTTTCTGGGAACCATCCACCTCCAAGGCAGAGACCACCAGAGGAAAGGTGGGTTCCCTTTTCCACGTCCCCTGCTCTACCGGACTCAAGGGGGGGTGATGGACATGACGGCTCTCGGCCTCGGGTGGACACCTCTTCACAAGGAATGAACTTGATGTATTCAGCAGGGAAGCGTCATGTTTTTTCTCATCCAGGAGCTGACTGCCAAAGCTGGACACCGCTCCTCCCTCAGCCCCACCGCTTTGCAAGCATTTGGGGTGAGAAAAATTGGTCGGCAAGGGCAAGCTGGCTGGAGATTCGCCTGTGTAGTGACAGCCATCGAGGGATGGCCTCTTGCCATTCCCTTCTTTGGGAACTTTCGTGCTGACTGCGCAGGCTTTCGCCCCCAGCACCATGCGGTGATCCTGGCTGAGCTCCTCCTCGGAGGGACCGGGCGGGCTGGTGGGACTCCCAGGAGCGCTGTTCAAGGGCTGTGCTCCCTGCTCCACCTCACTTCTTCCCAGGCTCTCTGCTGCTGCGCTGCCCAGCATTTCTTTCTCGAGCAAACTAAGGCTTAATTGGGATTGCTCATGTTTTTGAAATGCTAAGGTTGCTTCGTTTTCATCTTGCTCCTGCTCTCCCACAGGCTGATCAGCTTTCTTTCCATGCCCTGGCAGGGGGGTCACCGCTGTGTTTTTGAGTGGCGAGAGGTCATTACGCTCTCGGGAAACACCATCTGCACGGATATTAATGTCATTCGGCTCTGTGTCTTCATTTGCTAAGTGCTGCAGCTCCGGTACATTACTGTGCAGCTCTGGCTTCACAAACGTGGATTGTTTTGCATGGTAGGAGCCTGTTGCACCAAATGACTCCAGCTGCTCACATCCGCTGGAGAAAAGCACAGCCTCTTTTGCTGGGGCAGAAGTATTTTCTGCGTTGCCTCCAATAGGGACATTCCCCTCCCCTTGGGCAGGGCTTTGTGTCTGATTTTCTCCTTCCAAGGCACCGCCGCTCTCCTCTTTCTGCTCCAGCTGGACATGGGCGATGGCAGAGGGGTGGCTGGGAGCAAGCAGCATGGGGAAGCATGGCATCAGCAGCTCCTCCTCGTTGCTCTTCACTGTTCGTGCAACGAAGAGCTGGAGCTGCTGCAGAGGGTTGGCTGACGCCTCCTGGGATGCCAATGTCTTCGGGGAGCTGCTCTCCTTGTGCAGGCTCAGCATATCAAACAGTAGCACTTTTTGCTTGCCGGCTTTGTCGCCAGGTCTGGGGGCTGGATAGGTGGTGGGGCTCTTCCTCTCCTCCGATCCTTCCATCAGTGCAGACTCACCATCGTCCCCTTTGAAGTCCACGTCGCTTTTCACCGTTTTGGGTGACTCGGGCTTACTTAAGGGTCTTTCTTCTGTATCCGGGACCTCTGTGATGTGAGGCGAAAAGGTGAGATCCAAGGCTGGGGTGGGACCTCCCTGAAAGCCTAATTCAGGTTTAGGGTCTGGAAGATGGGCATCAAACTTCTCCAGCTCTGCAGTACCAGGAAGTCTTACATCTGCTTTCCCTGGTACAGGGAAGCTCTCATCACCGTGCTGGCATGGCAGGGATGGCAGCGGATCTTTGGTCGCTTCTGCTGCCTTCAGGGCCTTGGGGAACACAGAACTGGTGACAACAGGAGGGCTTTTTGTCATGGGGTCCGTGTAGATGGGAGCCTCTGTTTGATCTGCCGTGTGTGAGCCAGGTAGACTTCTGGAGAAGGACCCATTTTCCATATTTCCGAGGCCACTTTCCTCGGAAGTCACAGCTACCTGGAGCTGCTCGCTGCTGTCTTTGGAGCGGAAATGGTCCGTGGCAAGCGGGGCTGGTGTGCACATTCCTGCCTCCAGCGAGCCCAGCTCCACAGGGCAGGGCCAGGGCTCCCTGGGTCTCTCATAGTCCTCACACGCACTCGTGATGGCTGGCTTCTCACCTCCCAGCTTCTCTCTGACGCAGAGGTTTGAACTGCCCAGATCACCTGCCAAAGCCAGTCCTTTCTCATGACCTGCCTCTTGCTCGACTGGCAGCGGTGGGAATCCTCGCAGATGGGCAGCGACGTGTTGCTCGGGTTTCTGAAGGGCGACGGATGCCTCGTTATCCAGCTTGCTGGTTTGCAGTTGGCTTTCCAGCTCTGTGACTAATCGCTTGATCTCCAGCTCATCGTCTGATGTGTTGTTCATAAAAGTCACGTTATAAACCGTTATCCTGTCTGGCAGCGGCAGGGAGAGTTGGCTGCTGGGGACGGGTGCTTCCTCGGGGAATTTCTTGGCTAGTGGCTTCTCCACTGAAAGGCTGTGGAACTGAGTCACCTCTTCTGGCAGCATCGGAGCCACCTCCTCCATGAGGGACCAGTCCTTCTCTGGCATGAATGGTGGATACGGTTGCTCAAATGGCAGCGTCTTGCTGGGGGCATTGCCAGGACAGGTGAACGTTGCCACGTAACCATCCTTGCTCACAGAAACGCTCTCGTACAGCGGCGGGTCGAACTCGGTGACGGGAAGCTCTCCAAATATTGAAGAGGAATCGAAGCTGAGGGGGGAGGAGACCTTGCCCTTTGATGTTTCTGCGGTGTAAGGGGAGATGCTGGCGTGCTTCTGCTCGTATGAGCTGGCGTTGATGTCATCCCGGCATAAATACATGTCATCCACGTGGGAGGAGCCCAAGGCTGGGGGCTTTGGGAAGAGATTGTCATCGTAGTGACCGGGAAGGCCTTTGGGATCGAAAAATGCATTGTTGCTGCTGACGTATGGATCGGGCGCCTTGGCAGTGAGCATCATCCCCACTGCATCCCCAGCGTACGGGGCAACTGGCGTGGGATAATCCTTCTGACCGTCACAGAGCGCGTGTGCCTTCAAGTATTTGATGTTCGCTTCCGAGTAGGCAGCACTCGAGTTGCCAGGACTAGCTTCGTTACTGCTGTGGGGTGGAGCAATTAGCTCTTCTGCCTGGTACTTCAGCCCCTCACTCGTGAAAGGGGCAAACTGATGCCTCTGGTTGGCCATGGTCAGCTCGGGTGAGTCCTGAGCCTCAAGGGTGAGTTCTCCTGCCTCACCTGTATGCTTTGCTGCTTCTTTGGGCTCTTCAGCCCCCTCCTTGAAGGAAAGCCCAGCGGAGGTCCCGTCCGAGGCGGCCGTGCTGGGCAGCTGCCTTTCCTGGGATTGCGATAACGACTCCTCCTTTGCACAGTCTGTTGCAGCAACATCTGGTTCGGTACTTGGACACGTCCTGGAGCCTGCTACTAAAGGTTTGGCTGAGCCAAACTGCCTGCTCCCTCTGGAAAAGTCCTCTTTGCTCTTCTGGCTCTTCTTTGAGTTCCTGTCCTCGGGAAGGCTGAGCGGAGTCCTTGGCGCACGTGCTGGGCTGCCCGAGCGCCTCCTCCTCTGCGTGCCCCCCTTCTCGCTGCCTGAGCCAGCCCCATCAGCAGGCGGTGGGCTGGTGCCCACCTTGCCGGGCATACTACCGCTGTGGTTGCTGCCAGTAGATGACTGGCTACTACGTCTTTGGATTCTGGTGGCACAATCCTTTTTCTCAGCATTCTGCTGGCTCGAGACACCCCTGTGGTCCTGTGCTTCCCTTTTCTGACCGTCCCTTTTCTGACCGTAGCTCCAGGCTGGGTCTTTCTCTTTGTCTCTCTCACTTCTTCCCAGGCGTTTCTTGCTAAAGCCGTACTTGGTCCTCCCGATGAATCCCGTGCCTTGCTTCTTCTGTCCCTGGAGCTTGCCGCACTCTGCCCCATCATCATCCGAGTCGGAGACATAGTCGTACTCCTGAAGCCTGCCCTCCTTCGCAGCTGGTGCCAGCCTCTCAGCACCCTGGGGGCACTGCTTGCTGCTCTTTACCTGCAGTTTGTGGAGCTTATTCTTCTGCTGCACGATCTTGTGAATGAGCTCCTTGCTCCATGTCCCGCTTCGGGGCTTACGCTTCTTCATGTCCTTCATGGAGAACCGGGGTGGCTTGGAGTTTTTGGTGGCAATGCCTGGCCCCACCTCGCTCTTCGTCAGAGGCTCCTGGCTGAGCTTCCTGGGATGCTTTTGGCTGGAGGTGGACTTGGAGGAGGTGGTGGCCGAAGGGATGCTGTTCTTCCTGACCACCCGCAGCCTGGCTGTCCTTTCTGCTCCCACTGCCGTGGGATCTGGCTCCTGGGTTGCCAACCTCCGTGCCGCCCTCCCCTTGTGAAGGTGCTTCTTTCCTCCCCTTCTCTTTGCCTGCTCCCCACCCGGATGGCCATCCTCGTACAAACAGCCAGCGTTGGGCCGGCCTTCTGCCTTCTCCTCCGCTGCTGCCTGCTTTGATTTGCTCTCTGAGGCTGGGGCTTCCTTCGCCTTGTGGGACAACCCACCGCCAGCCGCCTTCACGCCCGTCAGCTCCTCATCAGCAAACACGTCTATGAAGCTGCTGTCGATCTCTGGGTTATCCGACTGGTACCCCAGGCCGTTGAGGGCTTCGGTGATCAGGCTGTCCAGCTTGGCATCATCGATGTCCAGGTCCGAGGCGGTGAGTGGCAGGGAGCTGGCGGCGAGGCCGTTGAAGAGGCCGCCCTTCAGAGCATCTTCCTTGCCCTCACTTTTGCTTTCTCCATCCAGCAAGAAGTCATCGCTCTTGTTTAACGCCAATAAATGCGCCTGGGGGTCTGGAGAGAGACCCAGGCTGGGGGGCCCCAGGCTGGGGGGCTTGTGGGGCTCTGTGGGGAACGCTTTCCGCCCTTCGGCTGCCCGGGGAGCGTCCTTGCCCTCTCCCGGGGGAGTGGGATGGGAGGCGCAGAACTGGCGGTGCTGCAGGAAGGAGGAGAGGTTGCTGTAGTTCTGGTCGCACTGCTTGCAGGTCAGGAGCACGTCCAGCTGATCTAGGCTGGCGCTGCTGAGTGAGCTGGCCAGCAAGTGATGGGAGGTGTACGGCGGCGGAGGCTGCTCCCCATTCAGCCCATCTGAGCATCCTTTGGCCACTTCCACGCCGGCTTTGTGGAATGGGCTTGTCGGGGCGCATTTCAGGAGGCTGTCATCTTTCAGGGCATCGGAAGGGAAGTTGAAGGACTTGATGGAGTCTGGGGGGTGGTAATGAAGCAAGCTGGAACTCAAGACGTCGGAGGGGTGGAAGGTTTTGTTGCCGTCCTTGGGATGGCAGGGGTGCTGGAAGAAGGGAGAGGGGGTCAGCGCTCCGGACATCTGGCTGTCTTCAAAGCCAGGGTTGAGTGGGCTGCTGGAGACGGGGGAGAGTGACGAGCAGGTGCTGCCGCAGGAGGGGTTGGGGACAGGGGATGGCAGCGGGGACTCACAAGGAGAGGCAGCCACCAAGGCTGACGGTGGCAGGACCAGTGCTGAGCCCGATGAGCTCCTTAAGGGAGGAGGACCTGCTTGACCCATGCTGTAGAAGAGGGCTTTGCTTCTCGAATCGCAGGTGGGAGACCCCGGCTCCTTCCCACTCTCAAAAGAGAAAGCGCATGTTGAGTTGGAGTCTCCCCTCTGGACCCCGAGGCTCTCTCCCGTCAAGAGCTTTTTGCCGTGATACCCCGGAGAGTTACTTGCGGGGGGCCCTTTCTGGGCTTTCCCGCTTCCCTGCCACTCTGACATGCCCAGGGGGAAGGGGAGCTTCTGGCTGGTGATCTGTCTCGACAGCTCTAGCCTGTTTTGACCGGGCATTGCAGGAGTGAGGTGTATTTGCTGCCAAGGCATCCTGGCATTTTTCTGCCTGTGCTGCCTCTGCTCGGGGCCAGACTGGCACTCGAATGAGAACTGGTTTCCAACAGGGTTTGGATAAGGTGCTGAATTCTGGTCCATGGGAGAAAACGCCTTAGGGGCACCTTCCCAAGCTTGCACAAGCCTGGGGTGGGTGGGTGCCGTAGTGGGAATGCTTGTCTCGAAAGGCACGGATCCTGCGCCGGTGCTGCCCGCGGGGGAACTGCAATAGGCTTTGCTCTGAAAGTGCACTTGGGAGAGAGAGTTTGGTGGCATGTTCCTTCTCAGAGGGCTGCTCTGGACCAGCAGCCGCGGGCTGGGGACACTGTCTTTCGCTGAGGCTTGCCTCTTACCGACTGGCTTTGGCATACTAGGTGAGTGTAAACTAGACGGAAAAACAGCTTGGTTTTCTTGGAAAGTGCTTGGGTTTTGGTCGATAGCACCAGACGACGAGAGAGCACCATTGGGGTCGGCGGGATGCTCGCTCCTGCCCTTGCAGCACGGCAGCGGGCTGTGGTGTGGGGCCGGTGGCGGCGGTGGGTGCAGGAAAGGTGAGGGCGGAGGGGCGGGCAAACCATACAGCCTGCCCTGGGGGGACACGCTCTCGTAGAAGCCACTGCTCAGCACCTCTTCTTGCCACTCTCTGGGGGATGAGTGGAAGGCGAAGGTGCCGTGAGCCAGCTGGCCGGCGGCGAGCCCCACATCCAGGTACTCCTGGCTCCCTGCATCGCTGCGGTATGGCTCTTTCCCCGAGTCGTGCAGCAGCTGGAAGGGGTATTGGCACGGCAAAGCCCCCAGACCGTGGGCACCGGCTTTGCCACCCTCAGGGAAAGCACTGGGCTTCTGCACCGAGATCCCGTAGCTAGCACCGGCAAACCC